AAAAGCCTGAACCCTAAAAGGACGAAGCCCTGGATCCCCACACGTCCGCGGCTGGAAGCTTCAACCCCGAAACAGCCGGAAAGATGGGTTTAGGGTTTAGGGTTTAGGGTTTAGGGTTTAGGGTTTAATGCCAGGGGCGCTGGCACAGCATGCGCCTATTGGCTAACATAGGGGCCTTCATACCCAGAGACTCCAAAACCCCTTAATTAAGGAATATACCTTAAGTTATAATAGGCTCCCTAGTATGATTTAAGGTATATTCCTTAGTTGAGGGATTTTGGAGTCTCTGGGTAATCAGAATAGGAACCCCCACAATAGTTATTGAGGCTCCTGTATTACGGGCTACCGGGGGTAGGGTTTAGGGTTTGGGGTTTAATTTTGGGGTTGAGGGTGTAGGGTTTAAGGTGTAGGGTGTAGGGCTTAGGTTGTCTGGGTTTTGAAGTAACCAGGGATCAAAAATTATAGACTTCTGTTTCATAATGGTTCCTTTAAGGACAGGTCCCAAAAAAGTATTAAAGTATGGTACTCCAAAGCCCAGTTGCAGGGTTCAGGAGTTTAGGGCCAGGGTGTCTATGGACTTCAAGTTTCGGGAGCTTTGCACGGCAAGCACCGCAACTTCAAGACCCAAATTTCTAAAATCTAAACCCTAAACCCTAAGCCCTAAACCCTAAGCCCTAAACCCTAAACCCTAAACCCTAAACCCTAAACCTAAACCTTAAACCCTAAATTCTGTCAGCCTTGAAGTCGTTCGCCATGTCCGTGAGCTCGTCTTGGCTTTCTTTCATCTGCAATTTGAGCGACGAAGAAGAACATTAATTACTTAGAACAGGGGTTTCACAGGGTTCCTTTAAAGGGTTCCTGAAAGGCTTCTATAAGGGCTACTATAAGGGTTTAGGGTCTAGGGGCCTTTGTAATTAGAATAGGGTTTTGGTATAACTATAACAAGGGACCCCCAAAATAGTATAGGTATTTATAAAGACCCCAAAAGCAACGCAACCCTAAACCCAGGACAAAGTGGCCTGCATCTGCAAGGCTTCCACCTTTGACTGCAACGCCTCACGCGCCTTCAGAGCAGGTCATCTGCAGGTCCGCACAAAAGGTTTAGGGTTTAGGGTTTAGGGGTTCAGGGTTTAGGGTTTAGGGTTTAGGGGCTTAGGGATTAGGGATTAGGGTTTAGGGTTTACGGTTTAGGGTTTAGGGTTCAGAGTGAGCAGTGAGGCCTGCGTCACCGTAGCAAGCTCCGTTTGCTGCTCGTGCACCTGCAGCAAACGCAGGCAATCCAATCGGCCCAACATCGCATGTGCTACACGACTAATGTAAGGGCCTTCATAATTACAATAGGGCTTGGGGATATATTTTGCTATTTTTGTAAAAAGGACCCCGAAAAAAAAAGGGTATAGGTAATTATCAAGGCCGCCATATGATGCCTCAACCCTGAACGCTAAACCCCTTAACCCGAAAGGACCGCCTGTAACCCGAAACCCTAAAGCCTAAACCGTCCCTAAACCCTAAACCCTGAACTGTCCCCAAACCCTAAACCCAAAACGGCCCTCAAACCTAAACTCTACACCTCAAGCCCTTAAACCCTAAAGCCTAAACCCTAAACTTCTAAACCCTAAACCCTAAACCCTGAACTGTCCCCAAACCCTGAACCCAAAACGGCCCTAAACCCCAAACTCTACACCTCAAGCCCTTAAACCCTAAAGCCTAAACCCTCAACCCTAAACTTCTAAACCCTAAACCCTAAACCCTGAACCGTCCCTAAACCCAAAACCCTGAACTGTCCCCAAACCCTAAACCCAAAACGGCCCTAAACCCTAAACTCTACAACTCAAGCCCTTAAATCCTAAAGCCTAAACCCTAAACCCTAAACTTCTAAACCCCAAACCCTAAACCCTGAACTGTCCCCAAACCCTAAACCCAAAACGGCCCTAAACCCTAAACTCTACACCTCAAGCCCTTAAACCTTAAACCCTAAAGCCGAAACCCTAAACCCTAAACCCTAAAGCCTAAACCCTCATAGATCCCTTAAAGGAGCCCTTAATGGAGCCCTTAAAGGAACCCTTAAAGATCCCTTAAAGGAATACTAGACCCGAAAGGACCGCCTGTAGCTTCGAGGACTACTAAACCTAAACCCTAAACCCTAAACCCTAAACCCTAAACCCTAAACCCTAAGCCCTAAGCCCTAAACCCTAAACCCTAAACCCTAAACCCTAAACCCTAAACCCGACCGCCTGTACCTTCGAGGACTGCAGTTTGGACTCAAGCTCGCGGTTTCTGGCCTCCGGAGGTCACGAGCAAAAGCCATGGCAACGACGAGGGTTTAGGGTTTAGGGTTTAGGGTTTAATATAAGGGGGCTTTGATAACTTGAGTAATGTAAGGGCCTTAAAAATTCGAATAGGGTTTTGGGGTCTATTATACTAAAACTATAATTAATAAGGAACCCCCCTAATAGTCTAGGTAATTATCTAGGCCTCTATATTGTAAGGGGGCTTTAATAACTTAAGTAGGGTGTTGGGGTATGCTATACTCGAACCATAATGAAGGAACCCTGAATTCGGCAATAATGCTACTAAGTATGGACTTAAACACAATGACAAAAAGCCTCCCCGTGAACGAAGACGAGCTCTCGATGCCGTGACATTCGCCCAAGCCCCTTCCATGACGTCCCCGCCAACAACCTTCTAAGCAAGGTTCTGTGCAAACGGTTGCATTTATACACAGATGTGCGCACGCAGGCATGCAGGCAATTGCTGGACGGACGGACGGACGGACGGACGGACGGACGGACGGACGGACGGACGGACGGACGGACGGACAGACGGAGGGAGGGAGGGAGGGAGGGAGGGAGGGAGGGAAGGAGGGAGGGAGGGAGCATGTGCTATTCCGGAAACTTCCGAAAAATAATAATAACACTCGTAACCAGGAATACTAACCCTGACAACAACAATCATTGTAGTCACAATAACCATGATGCTCATACTTTAGTTGTGAGAAATTGCCCTTGGCTCGACCACACTGGGGGACAGCTTACAAATCCATACCTGTATTGGTGGGTGCATTTCTATTGTGCGTACATCCACCTCGACAGAGAGAAAGGCAGAGACAGAAAGATCAATAGGCGGAAAGACGGGTGGATACAGAAATGGCTGGTAGATAAGGGTGACCAGTTATTTCAACCCTAACCCCTAAACCCCAAACCCTAAACCCTAAACCCTAAACCGTAAGCTATGTTAAGGCCCCTATAAATGATGGTTGCGCTGTAGGCTCTGCCTGCAGTCTCTGCAACGTGGACGAAGATTCTTTGAGCTCGCACTCTTTGTCGCTTGCCTGAACCACACACTCGTCAAGAGCAGGCAAGACACTGGTCATTGCGGCAGGTAGAGTCGTTCTTGCATTCTGTTTTTGTGGTTAAAAACATTGCTAGTATTACTACTATCACCTTTATTATTTTTATTGTTATTCTGCTGAAATTAACTTTGTCGCTATCTTTGTTAGCGTGCACTGTTAACATTGCTGTTGTTGTTATTGTTTTCGTTGTTGTTACTAGTGTTGTTGTGGTTGTTGCTGTTGAATTTAAAATTATTGTTACTATTATTGTTGCAACTATTGTTATTACTACCCTGCTGCTGTTACTCTTCTTCCTGTCTATGATGCTTATTAATAGTACAATTTTTTTGACCGTATAACTATGGCTGCTATTATTGTTGTTTATTCTGGTATTACTATCATGCTGATGTTCATGTGTTTAACCCTAAACCCTAAACCCCTAAACCCTTAAACCCAAAACCCTAAACCCTAAATCCCTAGACCCTAAACCCTAAACCCTAAACCTTAGGGTGCAGGGAAATTTTGAGCTGATCATGGCTTCAAAGAGTTTGGCGTTCTGGGCTTCGGGTTTACGAGTTCAGGGTGTAGTTGGGTTTTGGGGTTTGGGCTTAGTGTTTAGAGTTTGGGCTTTGGGGTGTTGGTTGAGGTTGTGGGGTTTTGGGGGGGGGTTGCGTGTTTAGGGGTTTGGGGGTTTGGGGTTTAGGTGGTTAGGGTGACGGGGTTTAGGCTTTAGGGGTCCAGGGTTTAGGGCCTAGGATTTAGGGCCGTGGCCTTGCTTTGGGCAGCAAGGAGCTTCGATTCGAGGCCATCGATGTGGATCTTGGCTTCCTGCGGTGCCGGAGTCACAACCCTAAACCCTAAACCCCTAATGTAGCAAGCCCTATTCCAATTGTTAAGGCCCCTATATTCAATCCTAAACCCCGAAACTAAACCCCTAAAGCAGCGAATGCATCTTTGAATTCTACCATCTACCCGATCTCTTAGGCCTTCGTCTTACAGCTATCGTCTCGCGAACCCCCTAAACCCTAAACCCTAAACCCTAAACCCTGAACCCTAAACCCAAAACCCTAAACCCAAACAAAAAAAAACTATTCGGTGAAACAACCAAAGGGCCCTGTATCTATTGTGGACTCCACTCTAGGCCCAGGCATGTGACAAGTACCTGATCATAAGCAACTATAAGTATGGCTACCAAAATCGTAACCGGGTTAGGGTTTGGGGTTTAGGGTTTAGGGTTTAGGGTTTAGGGTTTAGGATTTAGGATTTAGGATTTAGGGTTTAGGGTTTAGGGTTTAGTAACCCTCTTAAGGGACAATAGGAGGGACCCCTAGAAGGACCCCTAATCCAAATACTCTATATAACCCTTACATACTCCTTATATAGTCTGATAAAGCCCCTATATAACCCCAAGGATCCTTCGTCACTAAGTCCCATGATCGTCAGAATCCCTTCTACTACATTCATACCCCTGTGGATCCCTTCTCGACACCTTGTAAGGAACCCTTGAGGGAGCCCTTTCAGTCGCTCAGTTCCATGATCCTCCAAATACAGTAATGCAGGGCCCTTAATAATTAGAGTAGGGTTTTGGGGTCTATTCTACTATAATTCTAATCAGGAGCCCGAAAAGTAGTATAGGTAATTTTTTAGGCCCCAAGCATTACGGAGAGCAGAGCCACGGACAAAACCGCCCCTTTCGAGCCTCCAGGTCTTTCCTCAAGCGCTTGAGGTCCTTCCAAAGGCTGCGAGAGCGGAGTTTTAGGTTTAGGGATTAGGGTTGAGGATTCAGGGTTTAGGATTTTAGGGTTTAGGACTTTGGCTTAGGATTTAGAGTCTAAGATGCGTAGGATTTACTTGAAACCGAAAAAGACCTATTAAGAACTATATTGTAGAAACCATGAGGAACCCCCCAGAAAATAGGTCTTTTCGGCTACAGGTAGGGCGTGAGGTTCAACCCGGTCACAGGAGCCGAAACCCTAAACCCTAAACCCTAAACCCTAAACCCGCCTGCTCGTGCGAGCGCTGCGCTTCTTGGAACTCGTCCATTCGTCTGGCCCGCTCTTCCTGGCAGGGCTTAGGGTTTAGGCTTTAAGGCTTATGAGGGTTATACGGTGTAGGGTTTAGGGTTTAGGAGTTTAGGGTTTAGGGTTTAGGGTTTAGGAGTTTAGGGTTTAGGGTTTAGGGTTTAGGGTTTTCCTGGCAGGGTTGAGGGCTGAGGGGTGTTTAGGGGTTCAGGGGTTTGAACGGGTTTAGGGGTTTAGGGGTTTTAACGGGTTTAGGGGTTTAGGGGTTTTTACTGGTTTAAGGGTTAGGGGTTTAGGGTTTAGGGGTTTGGGCTTTGGGGCAGTCTGCTACTCGAGTTACGTATACCTTACCCTAGAAGAACCTGATCTTTTGTAGGTTCTCATGTTAACCCCTAATATGCAGTTTATAGTGAACCTACAAAGAGTGGGTTCTGGAGGGTTAAAGTAGGGCTGCCCAAACCCTAAACCCTCTGGAATTTCAAGAGCTATTGCCTTCAAGCTGTGCGACATGCTCGTGAGCTCTTGCTGCTTTTCTTTCACCTGGCAAGGCAGCCGATCGTGGTACAAGGCGGAGGGCTTAGGGTTTAGGACTTAGAAAATGAACAATGATTAGATACTAGTGGTATCTTTTAGGGTTCCTGATTTTGTCTAGGGTACAATGTATCCCGCAAACCCTATTTGAAAGGTGGTACCGTGCAGAGAAGAGAAACCCTAAACCCTAAACCCTAAACCCTAAACCAAAGAATGGCCTGCTTCTGTAGACCTTCCACCTTCGACTCCAAGGCCTCGCGCGGCTTCAACTTGACAAAGACAAAGAAACTTACATGTGGGTTTAGGGTTTAGGGTTTAGGGTTTAGGGTTTAGGGTTTAGGGTTTAGGGAAATTATGGTTCCTTTTTGGGTCCTTATTATAATACCGCACCTATTATTTAGGGTACCCCAAAAGGACCATAATTTTGACAACTACCCATGTCTGAAACAGTGCAGGTACTCTGCGTGGCATCATGGAACCTGCTGTCTGCGAGCTTCTTCCGGCGGCAAGGGCCTGCGCCACGGTCTCAAGCTCCAGTTGCTTCTCCTGCACCTGCAGATAAGCAGACGATCGCGATACGAAACCCTAAACCCTAAACCCAAACTCCTAAACTCTAAACCCTAAACCCCTAAACCCTAAACCTTCCCTCAACCCTAAACCCTAAACCCCTAAACCCTATTCCCCCAAACCTAAACCCTAAACCCCTAAACCATCCTGACTGCCCAAAGCCATAATGTAGGGGCCTCAATAAATAGAATGGGGTATTGGGGGCTCATTTAAAGGGTTCCTTAAAGGGTTCTATAAGGGCTACTTTTAGGGGCCTCTATAAGTAGAGTAAGGTATTGGGGTCCTTTATAGTATAATTATAATAAGGAACCACCAAAAGCAATATAGGTAATTATTTAGGCCCGTGTATTAAACCCTTAAACCCAAAGACTACCTGTGTAGTTCTGAAAATTAGGGCCCCTTCTAGGTCCCCAATATAGTACGGAACCCTTATAAAAAGGGCCCCAAAAGGGACCCTGATTTAGAGAACTGCCCACCTGCAACTGGAAGGACTGCAGCTTGCCCTCCAGCTCATGGTTCGTCACCTCCTGAACTCCCGGAACAAATCCAAGCGTGAGAAAGCGGGGCACCCCTAAACCCCTGAACCCTAAACCCCTAAAACCCTAAACTCTAAACCCTAAACTCTAAACCCCTAAAACCCGAGGCCCTAAACGGCTGACGTTTTGAAAGCAGGCGTTCGAAGCGATCCGATCGCCAGATTGACAAACAACACCCTGTGCAGCCCAATGCCCGGCAGACTGGAACAAGCAAGACAGGTCAAGAGCGCTGCCCATGACGGCCCACACGGTGTCCTTGAGGGCCTCTTGGGAAGCCACCAGCTGGCTGAGCATTTTGGCATTCTCCTCCTCCTTGCCGATCTTGCCCTTCACGGCTTGAGTTCTTCAGCTGTGGCTTCAATCTTCAGGGCCCTACCGGGTGGTCTCGCCGGCACGCTTCGGCTGCCTGCAAAGCTTTGGCCAGGGCCCTCATCTCGCTCTTCGTGGCCATCTCGACCTTCGTCGCCTCAAGGTGATGGGGCTGAGTCTGCGCGTTTGGAAATCTAGACTGGGCCGAGAAGTAGCTACTATGAGCGGCATCGGCAGGCCTGCGCCACAGAGGCAAGCTCCTCCTGCAAGCGAAGCATGCAAAGAATATGGCAAGTTGGCTAGGAAGTCTGCACACTCTTGCTAAAGCCGCTGTCATGTGCTCATGTGCTGTGCCGCTTCGAGAAGAACCTGTTGTGACAGCAGGCATTTGAAGGTTCAGCTCCGACTCGCAGTGGTTCTGTTCTTCACTTTAGAGCAACAGGGCTCAGTGCGCATGCCTCAGGATGGCATCGGCAGCGTCTTGAATGCGTTCTCATGCTTCCTAGCTTGTCTCTCAGACCATCGTTGGAAAGACTCTGCTTGCCTGTGAGGCTTTTGATCGCCGATTCAGATCCCCTTTTCGGCATCAGCATTCCGACCGTAAAACCCCAAGACAACAGCAAACCATGTGCACAGCCATGTCCGGAAGGCATGGGAGCTACGCGACCCCAAACAAGCAAGACAGGTCAAGAGCGCTGCCGATGAAAGCCCACAAGGCGTCCTTGAGGGCCTGTTGGGAAGCCACCAGCTGGCTGAACATTTTGGCGTGCTCCTCCTCCTTGCCGATCCTGCCCTTCACGGCTTGAGATCTTCAGCTGTGGGTTCAAACTTGAGGGCCCTACCGGGTGGTCTAGCCGTCTAGCGATGGCATGCTTCGGCTGCCTGCAAAGTTTTGGCCAGGGCCCTCATCTCGCTCTTCGTGGCCATCTCGACCTTCGTCGCCTCAAGATGATGGTGCTGAGTCCACGCGTTTGCAAACCTAGACTGGGCCGAGAAGTAGCTACTATGAGCGGCATCGGCAGGCCTGCGCCACAGAGGCAAGCTCCTCCTGCAAGCGAAGCATGCAAAGAACATGGCAGGTTGGCTACGAAGCCTGCACACTCTTGCTAAAGCCGCTGTCATGTGCTGTGCCGCTTCGAGAAGAACCTGTTGTGACAGCAGGCATTTGAAGGTTCAGCTCCGACTCGCAGTGGTTCTGTTCTTCACTTTAGAGCAACAGGGCTCAGTGCGCATGCCTCAGGATGTCATCGGCAGCGTCTTGAATGCGTTCTCATGCTTCCTAGCTTGTCTCTCAGACCATCGTTGGAAAGACTCTGCTTGCCTGTGAGGCTTGTGATCGCCAGATTCAGATCCCCTTTCCGGTATCAGCATTCCGACCGTAAGACCCAAAGACAACAGCAAACCCTGTCCCGAAGGCATGGGAGCTACGCGACCCCAAACAAGCAAGACAGGTCAAGAGCGCTGCCGATGAAAGCCCACACGGCGTCCTTGAGGGCCTGTTGGGAAGCCACCAGCTGGCTGAACATTTTGGCATTCTCCTCCTCCTTGCCGATCTTGCCCTTCACGGCTTGAGTTCTTCAGCTGTGGGTTCAATCTTCAGGGCTCTACCGGGTGGCTTATGGGAGTTTTTTTACGTGTGGAGCTGTAGCGGGCCAGTGGCCCCTCTAGCCGTCTGGCCCCTAAACCCTTAACCTAAACCCCTAAACCCCGAAACCCTAAACCCCTAAACCCGCAACCCGAAACCCTTAAGCCCTAAACCCCTAAATCCTAAAGCCCTAAACCCCAAACCCTAAACCCTATACAACCCTCAAAAGCGGGCCTCCAAAGCTTTGGCCAGTGTCTCTGTCTTCGTCGCCATTTCTGTCTTCGTCGCCTCAAGTTGCGAGGACTGCTGTGAGTATAGGGCTTACGGTCTAGGGTTTAGGGTTTAGGGGTTTAGGGTTTAGAGGTTTCGGGATTTAGGGTTTAGGGTTTAGGGGTTTAGGGTTTGTCAAAACAGCACAGGAAAACAGGATATACAGCTATCGTTCGAGCTTTGGTTCACGGGAACTACAGGTGGGGAGTTTAGGGTATATAGGGCTTCTACAAGGCTTCCATAAGGTATATAGACCTTCTATAAGGCTCCTATAACGGTAACTACCCACCTGAAAATGCCCTAGAAAGAGTAGCGAAACAAAACAAAAAAAAAGATATACAGCAATCGTTCGAGCTTTGGTGCCTGTACCTGACCTAGCAGACCTTGCGGTCACTATGAAGGCTCCATGCAGCTGCCCCTCCTGAACTCGACAAACCCTGAACCCTAAACATTAAACCCTAAACCCTAACCCCTAAACCCTGAGCCTAGACCCTAAACCCGAAAACCGAAACCCTAAACCCTATACCTATACCCTAAACCCCTAAACTTCCTAAGCCTAAACCCGAAAGCCTTAAACCTAAACCCTAAACCCTAAACCCTAAACCCTAAAACCCTATACCCTAAACCCTTAAACCCTGAACCCTAAACCCTATACCCTTAACTGCAGAAACCCCGGCTCTCCTGGATTCTCATCAACAGCCTCTCCTCCTTCAAGTTCTGCTCCTGGTGGGGAGGGTTTTAGGTTTAAGTAGTTTAAGGGTTTAGGGGTTTAGGGTTTGGGGTTGAGGTTTTAGGGTTTAAGTAGGGGGTGCGAGGAGTTTTAGGGTTAAGGGGTTTAGGGTTTAGGGTTGAGGTTTTAGGGTTTAAGTAGGGGTGCGAGGGGTTGAGGGTTTGAGTTTAGGGGCTAAAGTAGGAGGGCGAGGGGTTTTGGGGGTTAGGGGTTTAGGGCTTCAGGGGTCAAGGGCTGTAGAGGTGTAGTGACTTAGGGTTTAAGGGGAAACTTCACCGTTGCTTAGGAAGCTGGGTCTAGGAATGTTCGGGTTTAGGGTTCACCATGGCTCGGCGAAAACACCCGCCCGGTGGTCCCATATCACGGAACAAAATGTAGGCAATGTAGGGGCCTTAATCATTAGAATAGGGTTTTGGGGGGTTCCTTGTTATACTTTTAGTATAAACTGAGTATAATATACACCCAAACGCTATTCTAATTCTTAATTCCCCTAGATTACACTTAAAGACTTGCCTTAGGGCTTGGGTGTGGAGTCTTGGGTGTTGGTCTCCAGTTTAGGTTGAGCAGTTCAGGGTTCAGGTTCGTGGATATGTTTTAGGTTTAGGGTTTAGGGCTTAGGGTTTAGGGTTTAGGGTTTAGGTGTGTGATTTTGGAGTTTTTGGTCTGTGGTTTGGGGGGTCCATAGCTGTAACTTTGCCACCCGCAAGCTTGCTGGGCTCTGTCAAGCTCGAGACGCGCGCGCTGTTTGACAATGAGCCCTTACAATTCTCAAATCTGCTAGCGAGTGAGAGAGAGCTCGTTGCCTCTCGTGATCATAGTGTGATCAGGTGCTGCGTATACCTGACAAAACTCGAAGACCCTGTCAACAAATAGCCAACAGATGTTGCAAGCACGCTCCAGGACCCAACACAGCAGTCACAACAATCACCATAACAAGCCCTAAACCCCAAAGCCTAAAGCCCTGAACCCCTACACCCCTAAACCCTACACCCCTAAACCCTAAACGCCTAAACCCTACACCCCTAAACCCCTAAACCCCTAAAACCCTCAACCCCTGAAAACCCTAACAAGACCTCCTCGGCCCGAGTATGGCAGGCGGCGAGGTGCTGCAGAGTCAAAGACACCTGAAGGCTTGGGTATAGGGTTTTGGGTTTAGGGCATTAGGGTTGCGGGTTTAGGTCCAAGGGTTTAGGGTTTAGGGCATTAGGGTTAGGGTTTAGGTCCTAGGGTTTAGGGTTTAGGGCATTAGGGTTAGGGTTTAGGTCCTAAGGTTTAGGGTTTAGGGCATGAGGGTTCAGGGTTTAGGTCCTAGGGTTTAGGGTTTAGGGCATTAGGGTGTAGGGTTTAGGTCCTAGGGTTTAGGGTTTAAGGCATTAGGGTTTAGGGTTTAGGTCCTAGGGTTTAGGGGTTAGGGCATTAGGGTGTAGGGTTTAGGGTTTAGGGTTGGGTTTAGGGTTTAGGGTTTAGGGACCAGTTTCTAGGGAGATTAGGGTTTAGGAGTGTAGGGTTTAGGGCTTTAGGGCTTAGGGCTTTTTAAAGTTTCAGGGTTTAGGCGCTGAGGGTTTAGGAGTTTAGTGTTTAGGGTGTATAGGGTTTAGGAGTTAATGTTTAAGATTTACAGACTAGTGTTTCGGGCTTAGGGTCTAGACTATTTAGTTTGTCAAGGTTCAAGGCTTTCGGACTTGGGGTGTAGGGTCGTCTTGGGGGAGGAGGCGAAGATTCGGAATTGGGGGCTCGGGGGGATGCTTTGCAAAGCCCGCTTTCAGATATATATATATATATATATATATATATGGTCGTCCCCCCCCGTTGACAGACCATGCCCTCTCAACTGAGTAGATGTGCATGGTGTGTCATCGGATGGGTGGCGATCAGCCCTCACAAACTCAATTCCAAAATTTCCAATATTCTCGCCCCTAACTTTCCGGATTTCCAAAAT